AGGCAGCTGATTTGCAAGAAGAAGTACTGGACACGTACGACGAGCTGATTTTCACTCACCAGGCCATGGTAGTTGCTCTTCGTGGTCTTGGAAGAACTGAGGAAGCAGAAGAAGAAATGAAACGCTCGAATGAGTGTGCAAAAAAGTTGGATTCATGGGAAGCTCCTTCAGATATGCTCGGAACTAAAGAACTAGAAATTTTCTGGGACCATTTTTGAAACAACACCCGTCCCGGCAGTACCTACAAGGAGAATTCACACTTTATCCTTTAATTCCCAGATCAAATTGGTAATTCTCCTTACTGTCAAACATATAATTCTTATAATTTTAGTTCAGAGAATTTAGTATTGGATCAACTAATTATCCCCAAATTGATATTTTTCTTTATTCTCCTCACTTATCTGGTTAATATTGAATTGATATTGTAATGAGAAATTATGTGTTGGTCACTCATGGGAGTTTTAGGGTTAAGAAAGCGCCCACTGAGCTCTTAATCAGGTTATCAGTTTAAATCCGAAAGAAGCAATGGGTGTACATTCTCCCAAAAATGGAATTTAGACTTAGAGAGAGCCCTTTTTGTCTACAACGGATGATCGGGAATCGGTCTGTTAATATTTTGATCAATAGGAAAAATCATTGTTGCATCGGGTATCCAGGTCCCGGGCGCGCTGGGCAAATTTTTCTTTACTTTACGAAAGAGTCTTAAGCATTTCCATGAGACAAGTGCGCACAATTTCTGTCAGCCTTACCAATCTTTTCAATCTTTAGAGAGGGCCCTTTTTGTCTACAACTGATGATTTGGAATCGGTCTGTTAATATTTTGATCAATAGGAAAAAATCATTGATGCATTGGGTATCTAGGTCCCAGGCGCACTGGGCAAATTTTTCTTTACCTTATGAAAGAATCTTGATCGTTTCCATGAGACAAGTGCGCACAATTTTTGTCAAAGGCGCCGTCGTCCTACCTCGGAACGACTAAATCTTTATTTTACATGCGTGAAATCTGACAGGTTATTCAGTTTACAAGCCACTGTTTGAAAGAAAAAATGTGAGCAGAGTCTTTAAGGCAAGAAGCCAGCCTAAATATTTCATTTTTACCTGGCAATCAAACGGTGAAGCTGAAGATTCGTGCCACGAGATGCTGCATGACGATCAGTCGAGTGGTAGCTAAACAGTCTGTCAGCCTTTCTTCCTGTAACTCTGTCAGACAATCAGTCAGTCACCAAGTCAATTAATCATTTAATCAGTACAACTCTTTCTTCTTAGAAGTACTCATGATACTAAGAAAAAACCATGAGCATTTTTGCACAAAAAAAGGAAGAAAAAAGAAAAGAGAAAAAACACTCACTTGTGTGAGAAACATAAAATTGCAAGGATTGATTTTACAATCATCGATTTCTATGCGTTGCGTAGGCGCAACTATTATTTGAAATTATTTGAAAAAAAACTATTTAATGAAATTTTATTGATGTAATTTATTTAATTCCTTTTGTAATTAACTGCTAAATAAATAAAATCAAAATCAATCTTAAGAAAATATCTGTGTGCAACCAGGATTTACAGGTTATTAAGACGAGACTCACATGATGATGGGTCCATGACTAAAGGTTTTTGTGGTTTCTTTCATCATAATGGTTCAAGGTTTCACCGGAATAATAGAGCACTGATTTCTCAGCTTATTACTGATATCAGTACATCTCTTACATTCTCGCTGATACTATTGACGAGTTCTCTGAGAGAAGTAGTGAGGATTGACTGGAATGTGGCTAACTGCCTGTAATGGAGGATATTTTTTCCCCCTGGAAATAACAGTATGAAGACATTTTTTTATATCTTGCCAAATTGCCTGCCATCTCTCAGCCGAAAGATAAACTTACGAGAGGGGGACCCTCGGTGAAAGTCAAGTCACCTACTCACGTGACAATCAGTTGCTGTTTTGGAAAATGAGCCAACGCTCCTCTTCGGGAACGAAGATCGACTCTAGTTGTCTGTAAAGTGGAACCTAAAATATAATCAGATGGGTGTTTTTGCATCCTCGTACCAAAATTCCACAATCTTAGCCCACATATTTCTCATGTTAACTCCCTTTAGATCAAGGAAACTAAAAGGCCAACTAGAGCCACTATCAGAGGGACCTGGGACTAATAAAGGAAGTCTACCCGCCTATTTACTGCCCTCTTGTCGTCCCCTTAAAGTTCTTAGGAATGGGTTTGGGACTGTTGTAGCTTTGTATGTCATCGTTTCCCTATTGTCACGAATGACTCTATGACTCAATGTCACGAATGACTCAACTGTAGAAGGCTTAACAAAGTTGTAGAAGGCTTAACAAAGTTGCAGAAGGCTCACAACAGTACAGCTTCAACATAGAAAGAGACGCCATTTTTTTTTTTTCATAATTTAAAGCAAAGGAAGCAAAGATTTTTTTAGTCCAAGGTACAAACTTGGTCGAATTGATTTGAAGAGGAAAAGCACCTAAAAGGTATTGAAAGTCAGTTTGTCCTGGTATCTGAGCTGGAGTCTTCTGACGAGAAGATTTCCAACCCGCTTGCAAAATATGTCGGTCTCAAGACCAAAGTCTCGATAACCGCGGGCCAATCTACTTCAGACATGAAAAATTGAAAATTTTCCTAAACGAGATAGCGAAAGTGCGAGTTCTCGGAAATTGATCCAGCCATGTTGACCGCGGGCTCATATCATGACAAGCCTCCAGGGTGGGAGGGCAAGGGGCGGGAAAGGAGGCGTTTTTTTGACCTTTTATTCTGACTAAAACGTTTAATGGTTTTGACATTTTTGTGTCGATTCTGATAAACTTGGTTTTAGTGACAGCTTATATTTGTCATGACAATTTTGCAGTCCTACGAAGGACCGAAGCAAGTGTGTCAAATAGGGTACCCTCCCGCTGTGATTTACTGTGCTACTTGAAAACCGACGAACCACTTTGAAGGAAGTGATAAAGGAAGTGATCATCCTCCAGGACGTGTTTTCTCGTTTATCTAAGTCGGTAGATTATCCCTATTCCTCTCACTTGGATTACCTGTGGTTTCACGCTTCAGTTGCTCTTAATTCAGTAGGATATTCGACAGAGATTCCTACAATCGTTACCGCCAATAACGGAGATTTGATGCTGCCGTTCGACTTAACAACTTTCACCTTCTTCGAATGAATTTCTTCTCATTAACCCACCGGAATGGAGGCTTACAGCATGCACTGCATGAATCCTTTTCGTCATGTTGTCCTTTCGACTGGTAGGTAGCGATTTTCTTATTTATTTGGTTGAACTTTCATTCACGAATAGCAACACTGTTGTGCAAATATTTTCCGATTTCTGAAGCCGGAATTGGATATTACTATAATTTTTGGCGAGGTAAAATCAAGGACTCTTGGCATTTTCGCTTTCAATTTGTATCGGTTTATTGATTCAAAACAAGGACAGCTCATATTTGATTTTAAAAAGAACGACACAGCCTTTGCCAAAGCTGCGAGTGATCCTAACGTAGAGGCCATTTCGATAATCAGCATTCGTCGAGTATGCGGAACATGAGTGGAAATGAAATTGAGCTCGTAAAAATGATCAGTTTACCTTTCAAAAGTTACTATACAAAACTAATGATGACGAAGGGAGACTGTTGGACAATTGAAACACTTCATTACCGTAACACTGCCAGGGAAACAGTCCGAATTGAAGTGTTATTGGGGCGCATACATGGAAGAAATAATTCTATGGACGATTAACACAGACTAGGAATCTATTACGTGGCAATTGTGTTCCCTCCATTGATGTTTTTTTATTTTAAACAAGCGCCCATGTTCATGGTAGACATGTTACCAGATTAACTAGCCTTCAGTTGTTGCATTAAAGTAAAGGAGACTAGACTAGGTCACGCAACTTTTCAGCAGAGAGTAGTCTTAAGTAAAATATGCAAATATTGGTTAAAGGTAATCGCAGAGGAGGGTCAGAAAGGTTTCAAACGAGAAAAAGTAAGGAATATCATGATAAACTAAAGAATAACACAACGACGTGACTGTTGCATTCAGTGTTACTAGAGAATTGCCAGGATTTGGGCTCAATGAGGACGAAAGCGATCGGCCGATTTACCTTGTACATTGTTGCCTAACCCTTACGTGTTTAGATTTAAATTTTACATTGGTTTAGACGGCGTAGTTTTGTCGAAAAGACATTGAAGCTATTGTTTTTTTTCTTATTTTCGCTTGAGCTACTTCATTTGAATTAGTCGGACTCATTACTAACCCACCGTGACAAAAGAGATGTATGTGGGTTAAATTTGTGTATGCGTACACCGATTTAATTATTTTTTCGCTTTATATTCTTAATAAGGATCACCTTTAGGCACCATCCTGGCGGAAAAACGAGACCTTATGGATCGGTTGGCACTCTTATTAGACAGAAAAATGCGATTAATTCCGAACTGGACACAGTTAGCACGGGAACTGAGAGTTGATGATGCTGTAATTAGCCGATTGGAACAGTACAGTAACCACAGCCCTACCATCCAATTGTTTGATTATCTAGAGGTCAAACAACCAAACTTAAGCATTCAACAACTTCGACAAGGATTGACACAGATTAGTAGGAATGATCTGAACGTACTGCTCAAAAATGGTAACTACGTTCTGTTTCTTGTAACTAATTACCAAGATGCAGTTGTCTTTTACCTTTAATTTAATAATCTATCAAATATTTTTGCTTGCATGCGATGGATCTGAAGAATTGCTTGACCCAATATGCCCCTGCTAAGAATAATAATTTCGTTCGCATTTTCAAACCTTACGTTCATTACAATAAGATTATTTGTAAGAGATTTAATACAAGATGAGAGGGTTTTGCTATACGTTGTAGCAGAAGAAGGAAATTATTTTTTGTTCATAAAGTGGTACCA